CTAGAAACTCATGGACTGCTTGATGGCAATAGAACAGCTCATGGACATTTTGGGGACATTCTAGAAACTCATGGCCTGCTTGATGGCAATAGAACAACTCATGGACGTTTTGGGGACAATCTAGAAACTCATGGACTGCTTGATGGCAATAGAACAGCTCATGGACATTTTGGGGACAATCTAGAAACTCATGGCCTGCTTGATGGCAATAGAACAGCTCATGGACATTTTGGGGACAATCTAGAAACTCATGGCCTGCTTGATGGCAATAGAACAACTCATGGACATTTTGGGGACAATCTAGAAACTCATGGCCTGCTTGATGGCAATAGAACAACTCATGGACATTTTGGGGACAATCTAGAAACTCATGGACTGCTTGATGGCAATAGAACAGCTCATGGACGTTTTGGGGACAATCTAGAAACTCATGGCCTGCTTGATGGCAATAGAACAGCTCATGGACATTTGGGGACAATCTAGAAACTCATGGACTGCTTGATGGCAATAGAACAGCTCATGGACATTTTGGGGACAATCTAGAAACTCATGGCCTGCTTGATGGCAATAGAACAGCTCATGGACATTTTGGGGACAATCTAGAAACTCATGGCCTGCTTGATGGCAATAGAACAGCTCATGGACGTTTTGGGGACAATCTAGAAACTCATGGCCTGCTTGATGGCAATAGAACAGCTCATGGACGTTTTGGGGACAATCTAGAAACTCATGGCCTGCTTGATGGCAATAGAACAGCTCATGGACGTTTTGGGGACAATCTAGAAACTCATGGCCTGCTTGATGGCAATAGAACAGCTCATGGACATTTTGGGGACAATCTAGAAACTCATGGACTGCTTGATGGCAATAGAACAACTCATGAACGTTTTGGGGACAATCTAGAAACTCATGGCCTGCTTGATGGCAATAGAACAGCTCATGGACGTTTTGGGGACAATCTAGAAACTCATGGCCTGCTTGATGGCAATAGAACAGCTCATGGGCGTTTTGGGGACAATCTAGAAACTCATGGCCTGCTTGATGGCAATAGAACAGCTCATGGGCGTTTTGGGGACAATCTAGAAACTCATGGCCTGCTTGATGGCAATAGAACAGCTCATGGACGCGTTTTGGGGACAATCTAGAAACTCATGGCCTGCTTGATGGCAATAGAACAGCTCATGGACGTTTTGGGGACAATCTAGAAACTCATGGCCTGCTTGATGGCAATAGAACAGCTCATGGACGTTTTGGGGACAATCTAGAAACTCATGGCCTGCTTGATGGCAATAGAACAGCTCATGGACGTTTTGGGGACATTCTAGAAACTCATGGACTGCTTGATGGCAATAGAACAGCTCATGGACGTTTTGGGGACAATCTAGAAACTCATGGCCTGCTTGATGGCAATAGAACAACTCATGGACATTTTGGGGACAATCTAGAAACTCATGGCCTGCTTGATGGCAATAGAACAACTCATGGACATTTTGGGGACAATCTAGAAACTCATGGCCTGCTTGATGGCAATAGAACAGCTCATGGACGTTTTGGGGGACAATCTAGAAACTCATGGCCTGCTTGATGGCAATAGAACAGCTCATGGACGTTTTGGGGACAATCTAGAAACTCATGGACTGCTTGATGGCAATAGAACAACTCATGGACATTTTGGGGACAATCTAGAAACTCATGGCCTGCTTGATGGCAATAGAACAACTCATGGACATTTTGGGGACAATCCTAGAAACTCATGGCCTGCTTGATGGCAATAGAACAGCTCATGGACGTTTTGGGGACAATCTAGAAACTCATGGCCTGCTTGATGGCAATAGAACAGCTCATGGACATTTTGGGGACAATCTAGAAACTCATGGCCTGCTTGATGGCAATAGAACAACTCATGGGCGTTTTGGGGACAATTCTAGAAACTCATGGCCTGCTTGATGGCAATAGAACAGCTCATGGACATTTTGGGGACAATCTAGAAACTCATGGCCTGCTTGATGGCAATAGAACAGCTCATGGACATTTTGGGGACAATCTAGAAACTCATGGCCTGCTTGATGGCAATAGAACAACTCATGGACATTTTGGGGGGACAATCTAGAAACTCATGGCCTGCTTGATGGCAGCAACTCATTCAAATAATTACCTATCACGTTTATCATGTTATTCGTAAAAAAAATGTAGGTATTGATGTGTAAATTTACCAACATATGTTTTCATTTGCCATCATTGTCAGTATTCACAGCTATCAGTATTTATGTATGTGTAACCACAGTTTTTATGACATTTTGCAACTCCAAGATCCAAGTTTGAGACCAGACTACCAGCTGTCTGATTATCTGTAGGTCTGAATAATGCAGAAACTGTGACTCCCATCCATGTAGCAGTCTTTAAAATTGGGCTAGCCTGGACCGTGATGAAAGTCGGCTTAGACCACAAAGACAGATCTTTGTGGTGGCAGAGGAATCATGTTTAGATTGATGCTATTATACTGCCATTGATCCGTCCCCTCCAAGGAGGGAAGAGGAGGTCCTACGGTCACTGTGACATCTGTGGACATCCTCATGGAAATATATAACTAGGTTTCATTCTGGTTGGATTTGGAGCTTATGCTTGTTGTATGAGTGAGTGAGTTTGGTTTAATGCCACTTTTAGCAATATTCCAGAAATATACAAGAAATGGGCTTCGCACATTGAATCCATAAGGGGAATCGAACCTGGGTCTTCAGCGTGACGAGCGAGCGAACGCTACCCCACTAGGCTACCCCACCGTCCAGCTTCTTGTATGAGGTGAAGTCACTTTGTGTTTCAGGTGGACAGGCTAGGTGGCATTTACCTGACAGGATGGCTTGTTGTTTACTTTAAATCACTGGTTTGTCAAGTGATTTTATTATTCTATAGGTTAAATAAAGTAGGGGCGGTGGGGTAGCTTAGTGGTTGAAGCTTTCGCTCGTCACGCCAAGACCTGGGTTTGATTCCCCACATGGGTATTATGAGTGAAGCCCATTTCTGGTGTCCCCCTGCCGTGAGATTGCTGGAGGATTGCTAAATGCAGTGTAAAACCTTACTCATTAAATTACAGTCTGAGGTGCTTGTTTGGTAAGTGATGTGACACTATTGTGAGATGTACTGGTTTGAAACATAGATTATTTAAGAGACTGTTCAACTGTGATGTAACAGCACCAACTTTATGTGTCTTGTGTGTGTTTAATTAAATACATGGTAGTGTTGTTAAAAGGTATTGCTTTGTCTGAAGTTACGTGTTTGTGATGACAACAGTGTGAAAGAGGCACACTGTTTTACATGACCCTATTTTCCTAATTAATCATGTATTAGTTCTAATGCAACACAGATGGTTTGGACAAAAGCATCAGTGAAGGTTCTTTAAATGGAACAATGAGAAGTCATTCTGGGATTTCACTCCTGATTTTTATTTCATTTTTAAAGTTAGATTGGATGCATTTCTTTTAAAAGTTTCCTATGACATTGATTTATGTGATTCTGTTGTACATGCTGGGAACTAGACAAGATTGCCAGTGTTTATGCTGTCTACAGCTAACTGCCTCACGGACACAAAGGAAGCACTTTCAGTGATGTCTCTAATTTAAGACATTTACAAGGTGTTCTCAGAGTTCCATATTGGGCCCTGCGTCTACAGAAATGTCAGTTAAAACTCCACACCTGAAATTACAAATAGGCGTTCCGGGTTATTTTACTTCTCAAAAGAAGTAAAGAACAATCTGAGAGATACATACAATGAGAGATAAACTCAATATGAAAGTAATTTGAAAAAGCCATTAATATTAAGTTTGTCATTATTGTATTGAGTAGAATGTTAAAATACATCAAAAGATTACGAACATGAACAAAATCTAATTTGGACCAAAATACTATTGTTGTTCATTAAAAGGCATTGACAGTGTCGTAATTGGTCTTAATATCTATCGCCAGACCTATTGTACTCTATATGCTTCTCTTTTGTCAAACTTATCCTTTGCCACGGAAATAGGATGTGGTGAGACCTATATTTGGACAAGGTTACCATGACAAGGGTGTTGCCATGGTTACAGATGTATTACAAAAATGACTTCCAGTGTCTGAGTGATATTGGGATCTCAGTGGGATTGTCTGCTTCATAACAAAGGTTGCTATCAAACATGATGAATTTCAGTGTAATAAATGTTAATACAGAGATTTGTATAGACCTGATATTTGGCCCAAGTCTGCAACAAATGTCAGTAAATATTTTACAGATTGGTTATAACAATTTTCCTTTCCCTGATATTCAAGTAATGTTCTCAATCTGTAGATTTGTCTGCCATATAGGTGGAATAAGGCTGAGTGTGGTGTTAAACAACAAACAAGATCTCACTTGTATTTCACTGGAAACATGGCCAAAAGTTGATGATGCTATGTTATACTTTTTACTTGGGGAAAAGAATTCTTTTCAATCATAATTTTGAATGAACAAATCATTTCCTCCCGAAGTTTACCTTCTAAAGGCAGTATGATTTAAATCTGACATACATGTGTGGTTATTGACTTCCTAACAGACACAGGGCGCAGGGGTGGAAATAACCCATTGCCCGACGTCAAAGGCTAGTGTTTTTTCTGTCGGGCAAGCAAATTTGTATATCACACTGTACCGTGTCCAGTTGACTTTCCAATGTTAATTATGTTGTTTATTTAAAAAAATCAGCAAGAAAACAGTCGGTATAGTGGAAAAATTATCAGGGCAAGTGACTTTACATGTGCCACTGTACCGGAGTACACTATCAATTTTAAAGTTATTTCCACCCCTGGAGCGGTGGGTTAGCTTTGTGGTTAAAGCTTTCGCTCGTCACGTCAACGACCCATGTTCGATTCCCCACATGTGTACAATGTGTGAACCCTATTTCTGGTGTCCCCAGCCATGATATTGTTGGAATAATGCTAAAAGCGGCGTAAAAAAACAACTCACTCCTAATCGACAGCTTGTTTTTTTGTTGCAGGGGGTTAAGTGGGCCTCCTCCCCATGATGCCTCGTCTCCGTACAAGCGTGTCCGCCCCACGTCACCCCACCACATACAGCGTGGGGGGCCCAGCAGTACCCAGGGAGCGTACGCCTACCCGCAGGAACAGTCAGCTCCCAGATATGCAGGGATGGGGTCTGGCACACACCCTTACCAGGGGATCTACAGAACGGACCCTTATGCTCAGGTATGTGATGTTTACCAAAAGGGGCAAGGATATTCGTGTAACTATTTTCATTAATACTCTCTTTTTGAGCCTTACAGAGTAAGTTCTTCATGTTGGGAGATTGAGATGCTGTAATTCTGCATGCACGAGATATCTAACCATATACAACACAGGAGAACTAGCTATATACAACAATAGAAACTAGCCCTATACAACACAAGATTACTAGCCATACACAACACATGATAACTAGCCATATACAACAGTGGATGAAGTTTGGGATACTCTATAATGGCTGTGTTTTGACAAAACGGTCAGAGCAGGCTTGGTTTTATTCATGTGGAGGGTACCTAACTCAATTACAATTCCTCCGCAGACTTGCAGAAACATATCGGAATAGTTATTTGATTATGGTTTAAAATTGTATCACTAGGTTTTAAGTGGAATCCTATTTGTAGCCATGTGGTAAAACATCATCTCGTGCAACGTGACTTAAATGACATTTACCATGCCAGGGCTCTGTCTGTTGTGCCTCATTACTCTGGAGTTTTGATACCATGTCACCTGACCACACAGATCTCTCTTCACATTCCATATCATTGCAATACAATAGCCTGCCTGAATATGGAGAAGTATTTGAACTAAATGAAAGGAGTATTGAATTGCAGGTATAGATTTAAAGGTTACCAGATGTACTTGCTAGCATATATCATCAATGTCCATGTATGGTGTTATATTGCCCAGGTCCATGTTTGGCGCTATATCATACCTGTATCCAAATATAGTGTTATACCACCCTGTTTCCAAGTATAGTGTTATACCACCCTGTTTCCAAGTATAGTGTTACACCACCCTGTATCCAAGTATAGTGTTATACCACCCTGTTTCCAAGTATAACCAAGTTCTAACCCAGATAGATCATTCGGTGGGTAGCCTAGTGGTAAAGCGTTCAGTTTGCCATGTGACAAGACCCAAGTTCGATTCCTCATATGGGTACAATATATGAAGCACATTTCTGATGTCCTCTTCCATGATTTTGCTGGAATATTGTTAAAAGCTGTGTAAAACACAGCCTACTCCATTTACATTAAAGCTTGTAATTATATCAGCGTAAAACTTAACACACTCACTCTAACCCAGATAGGTTGGTGCCTAGAAACCAAGTCTTTCCTTGATCCAAGATCAAGTCATGGAGGTGAGGTAACTGAACACTTTGTAGCCTGATTGGCACTGGTTTGGGTAAAGTCAGCTAAGCTTGTGACGTATTTGAAGTGAAGTCTACCACAGAACAAGTTGAAGATAGTGATGTAAAACATTTGTGGTCTAGGTCCTAGTTACACTAAATTACAGGTACAATTATACATCTGTGGGAACAGAAATTGGCCATCATGTTAGACGTGAGTCACGTCTCCAGGATATTTTCTTTCACAGAAATACCTGACAGAGAAGCGCTACTCCATGCTCATTCATTGAAGTATGTCCAGTTTTGCGTACATGATACAAATTCCATCAGTATTTGAGGAAATGGACAGTACCGAATAACAGTTTCTTGTGATATTCATGCCACAAAACCCCTTCCTGTTTCTCCTCAGATCAAGTGATGTTTAAAAGATATACTTCCCGAAAGGAGATAAAGCCATGAGGAAAGTAATTCTCCATTCTCATTACCTGATTCTGAGGAGTGACCGAGGCAGTGTCATTACCATATGACCGACGGCTCTTATTATTAGACAACCTCATGGACAGATGCCCATTAATTTCTTGACAAGCAGCAGAAAGGTCAGGGGCACAACTTGCGTCACTGCATCGAAAGCACGCTTTCTCAATTATTGCACGAGAATTTGTATGTCTTCTTTCGATTACTCAGACTAATTTCTGCTCCAGAGGGAGGGGCTGTGTCTTGTTGGGGGAAACAAATGCACAAGAAGTGATACAGTCCCTTCCGTGATTGTTAAAAAGCTTATCCTGATGTACTTATTAGGAGTATGTCTAATGCGTGTGTCTACGTTAGGGTAGCTTTAAATGTTTCCTACTTCCCATATATGCCATGGATGGGTTTTCTGCACTAGAGATAGCAATTTCCAATGAGGAACTTCGCCGATGTTTTTACGAGACACATTTAGTTTACGATAAGCTGATTAGCACTGTCTGAGCAGTGGACCGGGGAACACCAAAGTAAATTATTTTCGTAAAATGTCAAACCCATCCTGTGCAATGCTTTGATGAACTTAGTTTGTTCTGGAGAAATGACTTTTTTAGGAAAACGTCCTTGGGTTTTGGTTGTGTATTGTCTACCAAGTTGGATCAGATGGATTTAACAAATAGAGTTTTCTCCTGTCTGACGGGCCTCTCAAGTACGTCTCCCTAGATAAATCAAAATTATTGGATATTTCACAACAGTAATTGCTGTTTGTTCACTAAGTCCTAAAAGTGCTGTGCTTTCAAACTATCATCAAGTGATTTCAAAGAGAGCTTCATTTGTGGTGTCTTAAGAGTCCAGGGACATAGGTTCCAAGTAGTTAGGTGTTGCTATCATCAACTAGAGAATGGGCTTATCAGGGCAATATTGACCTTGAATCATTACTTCCTTCTTTTTTTTGGATAAATTATAATGTTAAACATGGAAAATGACGTTTAGCAGAAAATATGCTTTGTCTGTATGTTTAACAGGAAATAATGGGTTGTCCCCAGGGCTTTATTCAATAAAACGACCATCGTCTTTATATTCCATCTCTCACCTCCTTTTCAGATTTATGTTTGCCGTTACTCATTCCATTCTAGGTGTGGGGCGGTGGGGTGTTCAAGTGGTTAAAGCATTTGTTTGTCATGCTGAATGCCCAGGTTTGATTCCACACAATGAGTACATTGTGTGCAGCCCATTTCTGGAGTCCCCGCCATGATATTGCTGGAATATTGCTAAAAGCGTTTTAAACCCAACTCACTCACTGAGTCACTCCCATTTTAGGTGTAACAGGGCTCGATTCAAGCACTTAGAACTTGCACTGGTGAAACCTGAAACTGCAAAATGCAAGCTCAAATTTATATCAACTTACACTCAATACTTTGCTGCTGTGCACCAAAATTTCATAAAGAGTCTTGATGTACTCTGGTCCCATTTTTTTAAAGATGAAACAATCTTTGTTTGATGCTTTCTTGAAGCAGGACCTATCATGTGACATCTTGAAAGTTCTGAGGGAGCGTCGTAATCACAAGAATTTCCTCATTCATCTCGTTATATAAAAAGAATCAATTTGTACTACATCTTCGCTGACATTTGCCATTTCCTGGTGTGTCCTTGTGAGACGTTCCTAACCATCTCCAGGGCTGGAAACTTCATCTGTCATGTGCAAAGCTCCAGATAAGCCTCATGTCTGTGTAAAATACACAGAATAGATCACTGTTACACAATTCATTTTGAGTTGCTTAGGTACAGATTTTGCAGGAAACATGTGGTTAAATATAACACAAGAACACTGTCGGCTCTCAGCCTGCTCAGAAGCTATGGAATGTATCTGGAACCCTGGGTCTGTACTTGCCTTCAGGGGGATTTTTGCAGGTCCATGGACTCCAGTGTTTTTCTTCACTAAGTTTTTATTAAATAGTAAATTAGAGAATTCTCACTCTTTTGTATCTTTACCTAAGGTGCCATCTTTCTGCTTGAGAAAAACAAGCACCTGCTTCCTCAGTGATGGCCCACTCTTCGATAACCCAAGATGCCATCTTTCGTCTCTGTTCATGTTAGAGAAACAAGCACCTGCTTCATCAGAGATGACCCACACTTTGATAACCCAAGATGCTATCTGTCTTCTCAGTTCATGTGAGAGGAAACAAACACCTGCTTCATCAGTGATAAGCCACACTTTGATGACCAAAGATGCCATCTTTCGTCTCTGTTCATGTTACAGAAACAAGCACCTGCTTCATCAGAGATGACCCACACTTTGATGACCCAATATGTCATCTTTCTTACAGGGGTGGAAATAACCCACTGCCCGACGTCCGAGTCCAGTGTTTTGTTCTGTCGGGCAACCAAATTTGTATATCACACTGTACCGATGTCCAGTTGACTTTCCAATGTTATTTATGTTGTTTATTTAAAAAAATCAACAAGAAAACGGCCGGTATAGTGGAAAAATTATCAGGGCAAGTGATTTTACATGTGCCACTGTTCCGGAGTACTCTAGCAATTTTAAAGTTATTTCCACCCCTGTCTTATCAGTTCATGTGAGAGAAACAAGCACCTGTTTTGTCAGTGATGGCACAATGCTCCAATACACTCTCTTTCTTCAGTTTTCATGCAACACAGCAACTAAAACTAATTTTAGTACATTAGTCCTTCTAATGATAACATATAGCAATTCTCTCAAAATGTCAAATTTCTATTTAGGACTTGAGCCAATTTCTATGGTTAGTGACAGTAACAAGCACCTGCTTCATCACTGACGACCCACGCTTTGTATGATGACCCAAGAATCCATCTTCACTGTTCATGTGACAGTAACAAGCATCTACTTCATCAGCAACGACCTACACTTTCTATGATGACCCAAGACACCCACATTCTTGACTGTTCCTGTTACAGTTAAATGAACAAGCATCTGTTTAATCAGTGATGTTCTAGCATTCTTTGATAACCTATATATCACAAGGTCAGTGACATCCAATCAACCTACAACTGTTTATATCTCACAGTGTATTTCTACCGGATTAATTGGCTTCCCATGGATTTCGCTGTAGGTTCATGAAATCAATATGACAAGAGAAAGGCTGTATCATTTCTGTATCAAAGCTTGTCTGGCTTGGTAATACTTCATCTTCCTGATTAATTTTCATCCGCTTTGACCTACCGTAAATATGCATTGTAAAAAAATACCATCTTGTGATCAGCCGGTGGGTGATTACAATTATAAGACAAGGATGAAGGCAGTCAAGGGAACTATCCATCAGTGTGCTCTTCAAGCTCACCCTTTGACAATAGGCAGCAGGTAAACGAAGGAGCTGGGAAGCCGTGTGCCTTCACT